AATATACTATAATATACTATATCATACTATATTATATGATATCATATGATACTAATATATCTATATATATATATATATATTACTATACTATGCTACACTATACTATACTATACTATACCGCACTGAAATATACTATACGACAACAGACTACTGTATATTCTACTATGATTAAAGAAAGTAAAACGGAGGCGACTGAGACTCTGGATCACCCACAGTGTAACCAAAGGGTCCCAACTTGCCCAAACCCTAAAACCCCGAGCCTGACTCGACAGGCTTTGAACAGGGAGAGAGGTTTTTGGGGTTTATGGATGGAAATCTGAGGGTTTAGAAGGCTAGAAGACGCAGCCAGGAACCGCCCACGGAAGAGGTCTACAGCCTTGAGGAGGTGCTTTCTTGGGTGCATGGGCTCTCAGCCATCAACTTCGGCCCTAAACCCCAAAACTCACCTTAAAACTAAGCCCTAAACCCTAACCCTAAACCCTAAACCCTAAGCCCTAAACCCTAAAATCCTAAACCCTTCATTTCGACCCTAAGCTCCCAACTTCAGCCCCAAACCTTACACTTGAGCCCTGGACCCTAAAGTTGCGTAGGTTTGGGGTTTTGGGATCTTTGTTTTGTGTGGCGTGATGCTATGTTATAGGGACTTATAGGGTTTAGGGTTTAGGGTTTAGGGTGTTATTCGCCAACGGATGACACCCGGAAGCTCACCTGCTTGTAGTCTTTTCGTCGTCGTCATAGGTGGTGATGAGTATGATTCTTGCCACTGCTACCGCATGATGGTAAAGGCTGCTGTCGGGAATCATGGTCATTAGCCACCGAGGTCAAAGAACACCAGTGGCCCGAACTCAAGCTGCAAAAAGCTGTGGTAGCTACCAGCCTCCTGAAAAATCGTGGCCGGTTTTGCGGTGACGTCTCCTTTCGCTGATCACAGAAAATCCACCTTCTGCAGACTGTTGCCACTTAAACCCTGTAAATCCTGAAATGCGGAACCCTAGACAGAACCCTTCAACTCATAGACTAGTAGAGCCCTTATTCTGGGGCCCTCAAGCCTGAAACCCTGACCCTGACCCCTAAAGCCCCAAAGCCTAAATCCTAAAGCCCCAAGCCCCAATCCCTTCCACAGCCGAAACCCTTGGAGGAGCCCGGGCGGCCCCGTGCTGAGGGTTTGGAAGATTTAGGTTCCAGCGGCTTAGGGTGTTTTTGAGGAACCGGTCTTAGGGTTATGGCG